TATATATATGTCTATTAAACGGTACAACGATGTTATGGGAGACAGAGATATGGACACATGCAAATGTGATCGTATCAAAACTAAGGGTGTCCAATGGTAATTTGAAAACAAAACCATTACAAACGATTTTTTAGGGTTTGTAAATTGTAATACAGAATTAATATTATTGTCTTCTATTATAATTATTAAGCCTAAACCAAAATGATTTGTGACAGCTGCTAAGTCTTCACTTTCTAAATAAATTGGCTTATTAGAAAGATGAATGCCTAATATTTGTTTAAATTCACAAGCATTAATATCTATACCTTTATTATTTAAAACTGCTTTGAATGTTGATACTGCACACCAACCGTCTGGTGCTAGTTGTGTTAAAATGTCGCTTTTCGCAGTAATTTCCTTAACACTAATCTGTACTAAATTTATTGAATAATTAGTCATGAGTTCGATAGAAATTAAGTTATCGAATTTGTTTGATTGATCAATATTTGATTTGCCTGTGCAGACATTTTTATTGTTAACAAAATGTATGTTCACTTTTTCATCGTTTTTTAATAAAGTAATTTTAGCCTCTTGAGTGTAGATTGTAACGCTATATTTAAAAAAAAAATCATATCCTAATGAACTATTTAAAGATAAATTATCAACTATGGTAAAGTCTATCAAAAATATATGTCTTTCAAACTTTACCTCTAAAGTAGTTTTACTTACCACATGCAAATGTGATCTGTTATCTGTAGTTAATGTAACATTATCAAATGGATAAATATGATATGAAATGATCACTGGGTAAACAATTCTTATTTAANTGGATAAATATGATATGAAATGATCACTGGGTAAACAATTCTTATTTATAATGCTTATACTCGCTCCTGTATCAACGACGAAAATAATATCTTTTTTATTTACTTGCCCATTATTAGTGGAGAATCGTTAGTTTTAATTGAATTCAAGAATGGAGTTTTTAATTCATAACTAGTTATCCTATCATTAATATTGACTTTTTTCATTAATTAAAGGTGGGTCAATTTTATTTACTTTTAATTGAGTAGAATTGTGCGCACTGTTACATACTGATGGTGGTTGAAAAGAAACATTGTAAGAAATAGAAGGTGGAACGTAAGGTTGAATGGCTAACTGATGGGGTGGATTCTCTAAATTAGGATTATTTTGAAGATAATGTGGTGATTTCCGTATAAAACTGTAATTAACGCGCAAAATTTCCTCTATAACTTTTGTTATAGTACTTATTTACATTATTTCTAAAATTGCTATTTAATTTGCTTTTTCTATATTTATTAATTCTATAATTTA